CAGCTCGGCTGACTCCCCCGCCGCACCCTTGGACACTAGCGCCGGCGTCGGAGACCCATCGATGGCCATGAATTCGGCGGTGCAGCCACCAAAAAGGCAGCATCAGGAGAGAAATCTCATTGGCAACAAAGTGTCGACGACGATCGTTGACAGTCCCTCCGTCGGCCAACGGAAAAGGTGACAGTTAACGTGGTGACACTGACGAAGAAAAAGAAGAATGTGGCCGCCTATTGCTTCCCCCTTCGACCTGCTGCGGCTCCGACGACTGCTACCCCACCTCTTGTTGCCACACCGGCAACCCCTCCACCGCAGGCGGCCGAGGATGGGATGGATTTGAATGCTACGACCTGCGACGATGACATGCTCGAGGAAATGCCCAAAAGGTAAAAAATGCCTCTTTTCGTTATTGTTTGCATTTTGCTTAGTATACTGATGCATTCTTCGGTATTGATTGCTAGGTTCCTCCTTTACTTTTGTAGTGAGCAAATGAACAATGATGCCCAATATTTCATGAATGAATTGAATTCAAGTCACACACTTGGGCTCAATGACATTGCGATGACTATGCCATATAACCAAACGAGAGATGTTGAGATGATGGACGAGGAGATCGGTGAGAGTCAAGTGAAGAGGAAGCCGAGGACGGGCAACTACAAGATCGATGAAGGCAAAGCTTTGTGTGAAGCTTGGATCAACGTCTCTCTCGATGCCACGATCGGTGCCGACCAAACAAAGGAGCAACATTGCGCCCATCCCCTCTAGCCGCACAATCGGTTCTCTTAGTCATCTTTGGGGTAACATCCAAGAGCAACACAACCGGTGGGCCGTTGTGTGGGGCAAGTAAACTTTTAGCCGACAAGTGGAATGCCCACCTACCAATACGAGGAAGCAATGCAAGCTATTTATGAAGAAAGGAACAACAAAAACCATAGCAAACTGTTTGGTTTCCACCATTGCTATACCGAGCTTGATGGACATGACAAGTGGATAAAAAGAAATTTTGAAGTGAAGGAGAGGACTTTGTAGAGAACCCGACTACTACTCTTGTGCATCTAGATGCAGGAAAGCATGCAAATCAAGTCAAGAGGAGCGGTGGTGTTGGAGCTTACAAGGAAGAGTTGACTGCAATGGTGGATTCATAAAGTGCTTTGGTGACCGAATGCAAAGAAAAGAATATGAATTGTTCTATTAGATGAAGGCCATGGAGGAGAAGTGGAGGGCAAAGGCCACAACTGAGGATACAAAGGTGCTTGCGGAGGAGAAAAGGCTTGAGATTGAGATGAAAAGGCTTGAAATGGAGGAGGTGGAGAACAAGAAATTGCTTGACATTGAGGTGCAAAAGCTAGCAATGGTGTCTGACGAGCGAAATGAGAAGAGGGTGGCCAGGGACAGTATTGTTATGTTTATGAATCCTAGCAAGATGGACAAGATAGAGAGAAGATTTTGGGAGCTTACTTGTGGCAACATCATGGCCAAGGCGTTTGGTGGCTATCGTTCAGGCGGCGGCAGTAGTGTTGTGTGAACCTATTTGAACTATGATGACATTTGATCCACCGTGTGTTGGTGGTTTTTTGAGTGAACTTGCTCGTTCGTTGACTTTGGCGCAAAATATGGTTATGTCCGATGGATTTGTTAAACTATATTTATGCTTGTAGTTCAATTGTGATGTGATGTATTCAAATTCTCTACTTTGTGTTCAAAATTTGATCAATTTATTAGAATAGTTTGAGCAATGGGTTTAAACATTTGTGAAACCAAAATTTATACAATAGGGGAACTGCTAGCTCCGGAGTAGTGATCTTCCTAAAAAAAGTAAAGTAGGATAGAGAGGACCTTTGTAGCTTTAGTATAGGATTTGCTAGAGATGCTCCTACGACTCATTGCATCAACCCACCTTCCCGTGAAAAACACACACTCTCCGACACTATCTCCACTATGAGTCCATTTTGCCTAATTTGTTCCCTTTATGCTTGGAGATCATTAGTTATGTGATAGTGGCGATAACCTCGCTTGAAACCCTAAACCTGTAATATTTTTTACTTAAGTCACTGGTCCTCAGCTTTATCTTGCCTTCACTCCACGTCGACTCTAGATTAATCATGCATCCTAGCATCGTCGACTCAAGTTGACGGAGCGGAGGAATGCGAGGTGGAGTCTCAATCATGGATCTAAGTGAACCGAGAAATAGTTATTTCTAAGTCCATCAAGCTACACATGATTTCTAAAATTTGCTTTTTACTCAATCCATGTTGGACAAAGAATCAACAAGTGTGATCACCAACTTAGAAATAAACATCGTCTCCTGAGCATTTTTGGAAAAAGGTCTCAATCGACCAATACTTAAGGATTTCACGGTTGATCGATCTTGTCGCGGGATTTAATGCCAATGTGAGGAAGATTCGAACTCGATTTCACGGTTTTTAATGCCAATCTTGTTGCGGGATTCAAACTTGATTTCACCGTGAAATCCTTAAGTATTGGTCAAGCGTGAAATCCTTAAGTTTTGCTTGTGGCTTCCATGCCATTTGACTTTGATTTAGGCTACCTTTGGCATTGCGGTGAATTCACTTAATCCCGTTTGCTTCACCTGTTTCTCCCTATTTTAATGTTTGTTTGACCCACTTTTGCTTACGGCTGTGTCAAAAAAAAATTCATTACAGATTACAAAATAAAAGTATGCACAACACAATGGTTCAACAAGCATAAACGGACCCTGATAAGTACCTGACGTGTGGCACGAGCACATGGCAACTCCGAACATTTTTTATGGCAAGTTTAGTGACATGAGGATGGCAACTTTAGTTGTCAAACATGACAATTTTTATGCTTCAATTTATTTTTGACACAAACTTACCATATGTCACTGAATTCTGCAATCCTTGCGTGACTGAAATTGCCATTGAAAAAGATCAAGACCAGAGTGCCACGCATCTGGTATGACACTTATCATTTGGGTAAATAAATCCTTGATGAGGATCTTGCACTCTAAGACTAGCAATTCCAACAAAGAAATTACTTAGCCGAACGTGCTTTTAGGAGTGTATATGTTCATCAAAACTACACGTTAAACATGTGGCTTGACCCTTCGGGTTTCGAAGCAACGGCCAAGCCAACGGCAACGGGACACACCACCGAGAGACCCCAATCCCATGCTGCTCTCCCAGTCTCCAGCCGCTACCCATCCGCAGCTTCCCACCTCCTCCCGCCGCACGCGCCGCTCCGCACAGCCATGCCCGCGCGGCGCGGCCGCCGAGTCGCTCCTCCCTCGCGGGCTGCGGCCGGAGTCGCTGCCGCGCCACGTGGCGGTGGTGATGGACGGGAACTCGCGGTGGGCGCGCGCGCGGGGCATGCCGCCGGCGTTCGGGCACGAGGCCGGGCGGCGCGCGCTGGTGGAGACGGTGCGGCTCTCCCGCGCCTGGGGCATCCGCGAGCTCACCGCCTTCGCCTTCTCCCACGAGAACTGGAGCCGCCCCAAGGTAGCACATCACACCTGACCTGGCCGCGCGCGCGCGCGTTTTTGCCGGCTCCCTCCGGCCTCCGCCCTGAGCTTGACGGTTCTTGGAATTTGCAGGCGGAGGTTGACTTCCTGATGGGGCTGTTCGAGCGGGTGATCCACGACAGCGTCGCCGAGTTCTTGAGGTACGCACGCCAGCCAGTCCGCCGTAGATTAATGGCCTCACATTTTGGCCGTCTCTATTGCCATTCTGATAAGATGCACCCGAGCACTCCGCTCCATGTGCCGGCCGGCTCCGGCAGATGAATTAACGCACTAATCTAAGTGATAACCACTAAGATTACGGCTGAAGAACAGCCCGATTTCTACTCTAGCACTGATGGGTTACTGTTTTGTGCAGGGACGGAATTCGCCTACGTGTGATCGGCGACTGCTCGAGGCTGCCGGCGTCTCTGCGGAGGACGGCAAGGGACGCCGAGGAGGCAACGAGGGACAACTTGCAGCTCGACCTGACGCTGGCGATCAGCTACAGCGGGCGAAGGGACATAGTGCAAGCCTGCCGGAGCCTCGCCCAGAAGGTGCGCGGCGAGCTGCTCAGGCCGGAGGACATCGACGAGTCGCTGTTCGCCGGCGAGCTGGAGACGAGCCGCGGCACCGAGCTCCCGTGCCCCGACCTGCTCATCCGGACCAGCGGCGAGCTGCGGCTGAGCAACTTCTTGCTGTGGCAGTCGGCCTACTCGGAGCTCTTCTTCACCGACACCCTGTGGCCGGACTTCGGGGAGGCTGACTACCTCGAAGCGCTGTGCTCCTTCCAGAGCAGAGACAGGCGGTTTGGCCGGAGGAATCCGTAGCGCAAGGCCACCAAAACTTGGTGTTTTTAGAAGCTTTAGTGCATGACTCACTTGATCAGTAGGTACATTGGGCAGATAAGGGCATTTCTAGCAGATCTCTTCTGGGTAAACTGTCAAAAGTGCTCCTTATTCCACTTTACTTTTTTTAGGGATATCACTATTTTGCAGCTAGCAGACCCCCTATAATTTTAGTCTTTAACAAAAAAATCAAACACATCTTTTAAACATAAATTCATTTCAAACACACATTTAAAGTAATAATAGCATAATTCCATAACTTCTAGACGTTAATATCGTACATACTACTCATCATCACCTAAACCAAGAACATCAACAGTGCAATAGCTCTCACCAAAAAAGAGAGCTGCAAATGATCCGTCAGCCGATGAGCAGCCCGAGCCATGGACTCAAGAGGAATGCCCGGTTCCTTTGTTCCCGTTGCCTTGGAAGCTTTTATCCCATATGCTCAGACCACGTCTGCTCCAACCACATTGCGAAGATCAGCTCGTCGCATGGCAATGAAGAGCAGGATCTTTTGAACTTGCTATCTGCAGTGTCGAGAGTGTATTTTGTATGAACTTGATGACAGTGAGAGTGTATTGTGTATGAACTTCATGAAAGACGTAGTGCAGTTGCAATGACGAGTTTAAAAATAAAAGGCAGCAACTTGCAACCATGTGTAGTGCGGTTGCAGCGATGAGTGGTGGTTTGTAGCAACTGTGGTATGTGTGTGTGTGTTGTAGGTAGCTGGTTGCAACTTCATTGGCCAAGGGTTGCAACAACAGTGGCTCAGGGTAGAGGGTTGCAACAATGACATAGCCTTGCAACGTCACTGGTGTGCCCCGATCTCACGTTGACGTCGATGGGAGAAAAGAGCCGAGATGGAAGAAATAGAGTTGGGGTAGAGTCGGTCAAGCGGCTGAGGGGGGGAAAGAAAAAGATGTGCACCAGGGAGGGATAAGGAAAGACTATGCATGGGTTCCACCAAGGCACATGGTGTCCACGGGCGGTCGTCGACGCGATAACGCCATCGCCCTAGTGATTCCAAATATTTACCTATTTCAGACACTGCCTAACTACCCCTTGCCCAAGTATAAGTCGTATCCTTCAAACTTAGGGTTATATGTTTTTGACTGCATAATTTGCGACATATTTTTCGACAAATCAAATTTGACATGGGTTTGTATGCATAGTCTATGTTGTATCTCGTCCATGGTCCATGGGATGGCAAAACCCAATTGATCTCGGACTTGACAAAGGAATGTTTCCCTATGAAGCATGAGCCGAGAAAGAAAAACATCACCGGAGGTGAAGGGAACCGCTCCATGAGAAGGAAATAATAGCCTACAATATCTCCAGACTGACCCGCTCAGATCCAAGAGAAGATGAGAGATAAGCACTAACACAATAGGCTTGTTGAAAATAAAGGATTTTGTGGACATAATCTAGCGAGATCAGAAAGGGTAAGAAGGGGTTTATTGGACTCGAAGAAGGATGACCACGAACTTTCAACATCGGTCCAACGTTCAATCCCCATCCGATGGTCAAAAGGGAAGAGTAAAGACTAGATCCAGGAAGCATAGAACTAGGGAGGTTATTGGAGAGGGCGTTACTTGACAAATCTTTGATGGAGTTGAAGCCGAGAGAGGACAGGGTTGTAGCAGCACCAAGAACAATCGCGAACAACGCTCGCCGGAGCCTCCAAAACGACAATTTGCACCCAAAACAAGCCATGTAGGATGAAAACCAAAGTGGATATACAAGTGAACGAACGAGGCCGAGCCACTATTCCCTTCCTTTCTAACTGGACAAGCCAACGGAGGTGAAGTGGAGAGGGCGTTGTCTGGGAGGGGGTGAGGACAGGAGTTGAGAACAGAGAGGGGTGGAGGAGAGAGAAAGAGAAAGGTGGGAATCCCCCCATTTGGTCTAACATATGACATGTACATATTGCAATACTTGATGAGAAGTATGGATACACATGTTTTGTACAAGAACAAAACCAGGTTGTACGGCCTGGGTTGTGAGTGGCATGTTGTTCTCATGTGTTATATGGTTTTTCCTTCTCAGCCTCGTAGTTCTAATTTTTCTTCCCGACACATGCGAAAATTCACATTTTTATCAAAACTCATGGCCTCAACATCAGTTCTTTTGCTCTTATTCCCCCCTCTCGTTTTTTTGGAATTCATCTATTTACCCTCGACCCATAAGTTTCGGTGAGTTCATGCCGTGTAGTATCAAGGCGTACAGAAACTAAACTAACGGGTAGGGAGTGTGACAACGACATAGTCTTGCAACGTGACTTGTTCACCTCGATGTTGCATTAAGGTGGATGTGAGAAGAGAGGTGGTGAGAAGAAGAAGAAGAGTTGAGGAAGAACCGGGCAAGCGCCCGACGGGGAAAGAAAAATATGTGGACCAGATTCTTCTAGAGATGATAAGGAAAGAGTGAGTGCAGGGCCATGGAGGCACATTGCGCGCAAGAGCAGTGCTCGACAC